GCCACACTATGGCTGTCGCTTTTTCCTATTCTCACTCCATAGAGACTGTTTGTTGTCATGGCAACAGCCGGAGGAGAAGATGTTAGCTTATTGTATCTGTAACATCTGGAGGTGTGCCGCTGTGCGTGTGCAGAAATTCATCCAGCGGCTCCACAGTCTCGAGATGTTGGATGACACAGTGTTTAATCAAAAAATGTTTATGTTTGTTTTGCACAAGCCTTTACGCACTTAAGGACTTCATCCGCGGTCTGTCTGATGCAGCTTAGCGTGAAATCTCTCAGATGTACTTCACTGTTATGAAACGTAATTTTATTCGGAAATGAAGTCCTGGTCGGAATAACAGAAAAATTATTAAGCAAGAGTTCACTGCAAAACAAGGTCAAAGATGATCACACCTTTGCTGTGTTATATGCATCATATCTTTATAGAAATAATTCACACAGTGTATGTGGAAAGTTTTGAAGAGAAATTGCTTAAACATCCAAGTATAAGACATTATATTATTTTATAACAGACACACATAGATAGATAAGATAGATAGATAGATAGACATCCAAATTCTACACATTATATTGCAACAATTTAAAAGGCCCGTTTTCTCTTTGAATATATTTAATATATTTTAAAATGTAATAAAATGTCTCTAATGACAATATTTTCAGCATCATTACTTTAGTCTTCAGTGTCACATGATCCTTCAGAAATCAGTCTTATATGATGATTTGGTGCACAAGAAACATTTATTGTTATTTCAAATGTTAGTTATAAGTCATGCTGCTTAATAGTTTTGTGGAGACCATGATACTGTTTTCCAGGATTTTATGATGAACAGAAAACATTTATTTGAAATACAAATCTTTAGTAACATTATACATGTCTTTACTGTCAGCAGCGGAGAGTGCAAGTGAAGATTGCAAGTGACTTTGTAATTTAGTTTATTTTTTCTTGTCTTCACAACCTGGCTACTGTTGTAAAATGTTGAGAGATTCAAACAAAAAATAATAAATATATAGAACAAAATAAAAATAAAGACTGCAATTGACGTCACTAACGTAAGTGTCTGAGAGTGCAAGTCTGCAGCCAGACCCTCTGATCAGAACTTCTGTGTGATTACCATAGACTGTAAAAAAAAAAAAAGGGATTACAGATAAAAATCTGTAGTGTAAAAAGTTATAAAAACATCTGAAATCATAGGTGCACTGCGGGGGAAAAAAAGAGAAGCCAGAAAGGTGACACAAACCACCAAACCACAAGGAGACTTGTTTGCATTAGACAGCATGAAGTCAATGTGAAAGTCATTGTGGAGGTGTTTGTTCATTATGAACCTTTATTGTTTCCTCTCATTTTAGATTCACTATTACATTCACTGCTGTTTTTTTTTTTTCATGTTGTAAAGTACCGCATTACACAGATTCATCAGACTGACTTTCTGCATGACTGTTTACAGATCCATGTGATTGCATATAAATTACAGGATGGATTATAGATTGAGAACATAAAAACCCTATAAATCCAACACAAGGATAATCTGACATATGTTTGTGATTTCTAGTCTCTTGTGAAGACCTGAACATTATCCTTCATCATCACATCAGCTCCTGAACTCATCTGATCACAAACTAACAGACTGATGAATGCTTTCTTTCTCAGATCTGTGTCTCAGTGCTGCACTGATGCTGCACTTTACTGACTACATTCTGCATGAACACTCAATCTATATCTTTATCTTCTTGTTTTGTGATTTTTTTTATGGTATTAGAAGAATTTTAACTAATAGTTCAAGATTTTTTTTTTAGATGAGTTTATGCAAAGTTTGAAAATTTTATCAAATATTAATCAAGTCTTTAGAGTGGTTTCACAATGTTGTCTATAAGCTAAGACAATTAGCTGTAACGATCCTGCATCTTGTCCTGATCTTTGACTTTGTATGACATAATTAATGACTGATGTATCAGATGTTATTTTTGAATATGAATATCAGCCAGTAACTGTGTCCATATATCTGACTAAAAGTGCTTTCATTCCTTCCATGTGTCATCCAGCAACATAATGATAATGCTAGTGTTCATTTTATTTCAGTCATTTGTACATCATTCAATTAAACTGCAATATCATTATTATATTAGCCATCAGTCAGAGGAACAGTCATTGTAAGGTCTTAGTAGTGGTTTTGTTTTTCAGATGAATATAATGCAGGTGTTATACTTTAGTAGAGAGGAGGAAGTTCTAGCTCTGCAGTGACATTGTGGTAACAGAGCAGTTACACTGTAGCACAAACAACACACAAGCAGCCAATCAAAGACAAACTTCAGTCAAAACCACGCCTTCTCCATTTTGGCATGTCTCCTATTCTTAGAATTGAAGCCCTTTGCTGTTCGCAGAGTATCAGAGTCTGAGTATTATTTTGTTTTTCGCAGAATATCAGAAACTTTCAGTTCTCGGAATTGAAGCCCTTTGCAGCTTAATGCACACCTTCTCATTATATAAAAATCCCCTTGAAGCTCAGACGGCACAACATTAGCAGGGATCTCAGAGTTGTGATGGACGTTTCTTCTCTTCAGCTCAACACAAGGTTATTAAAACCATCATATTTCATTTTTTGTTAAGAGTTCTTATTATTCATTATTTAAGCTATTACAGTGGTGAAACAGAAATGTCAAAAAATACAACTTGGCAAAGATAGTAGTAAGAATATTTTTTACTGAACAAGAGTTTTGCATTCCATGTTTTGCATGCAAGAAAGTACAGTATCTGTATTGTTTTGATTGCCATGCAATGTTCATCTTTTTCTGTAAATGACAGAATGATGATTTTTGGGTGAACTGGGTAGACTGTGGGGAAAACGCCTCTCTTAAGGACTCTTTTTCTTTCTTTTTTTTGTCTGTGGAACAGAACAAAAGTTAAATGTGTCCAGAATAGTTATCATAGATTTAGTGACAATGATATCATTTATAAACCAAGTATGAAAAATGTCCAGAGTTTTCATGTTATTAGATTTTTAACAAAAATTTAATTTGTTCTAAGCGTTTTGCCCCAAAGGTGGAGTAAAATGCCCCTCAGTCTGACAAAGCAATTTGCATGATAGATTTACAGCAAAATCAGAGTACAGGCAGTTTGAGATTAAAATAATTTTTTATACTTCTACATCACCCTTGTCAACATAGTCCATAGTTACAAAAATGTATCTTGATTTTATCTAGTGGATATTTTGGGGAAAACAGTAGGGGGCGTTTTACCTCACTCTGCCATACAGCTGAGCAAAGACTGTGCTTTAAAGGGGTCATATGATGCTGCTAAAAAGAACATTATTTGGTGTATTTGGTGTAATGAAATGTGTTTATGTGGTTTAAGGTTAAAAAAAACCACATTATTTTCCACATACTGTACATTATTGTTTCTCCTCTATGCCCCGCCTTTCTGAAACGCGTCGATTTTTACAAAGCTCATCGGTCTGAAAAAGCGAGGTGTGCTGTGATTGGCCAGCTGACCCAGTGCATTGTGATTGGCCGAACACCGCAAGCACTCGTCGGAAATGTAACGCCCCTT